CAATATAAAATTATATAAGATTATAATATATAAAAATAACTATTTGAACTAATTTAAGCAATTTATAAATAGTTAGAATTAGGGTGAGGGTTATTTAGTTTAAATTAAAGTTAGAATAGAGTTAGGGTTAGAGTTTTATATATTATAATCTTATAATATTTCTATATTGCCCACCTATACTATAGAAGATCCAAAACTTTGATATGTTTTTTTTTTTTTGCATGCCGGGTTAGAGATTTATATAGATATACAGTAAAACCTCTATAAGTGCGACTCTATAATACACACCCTCTCTAAATGCATATTGAAGTTCTGGCCTAGATATATAAATGCCTCTATAAATCACTTTCTTTTATTGATCTCTAAGTGCACGTTGTTAAAGCTTGGTCCCAAGAGCATGCACTTACTGTATATCATAAATTATAGAACTATAAAATCGTGTCATCTCTAATAAAATAGGTAGCCAATCAATTCATTCCAATTCCACGTGATTCGGACTTATAATCACATGATAGGGGCATGCCTCTCGGCTCAAAGGCATGCCCCGGAACACCGTGCCCCAACCCTAAGTCTCAGCCGTGACAATTATTATTATTATTATCTTTTTCCGGACCAGTCCGAATAACGAAAAACTCACGGAACATGTAATATAAGATCGGGTTCATTTTTTTAGAACCCTATCATTATCATATATCTGGAAATTGCTACTATAATTTTTAATAAATTCATTTTTCCCGAAGTATCACGAGGGTTAAAGAGCTAGTTATAGATCATAATAAAATCGGATTAAAATAAAATGTGTAGTTTTTATTTGACCACCCAAAACCTACTTATTATAAATTATACTCTAAGCTCTAATCTTAACTCAAAAAAAAAAATGCTAAAAAGATGCACCCTAAAAATTTGTATTTTTCAGTGGCTTGTCTATTTGACACTATCATTCATTTCTGATTTCATTTTAATTTTTTGATTCTCAAGGGCTGATGTTTAGATAAACCTTTGCATTTTGTCCAGGACTCATGAAAACACAGCGAAAGAACCTATGTAACTGATATAATGTTGCGCTGCTTTTTATATCGTTCTGCACCACATCATTCTGTTACATTTTGTTTCTATGATGACTAAGTGAATCTTATATCCTGTGACGTAATCTAGAGCTTTATTTAACCCTAATAACTCGGACCAAGTCTTCCACGCGCTTTCTTAGCCCGCCAATATTAGGATTTCGATAGAGTTTAGTAGTTTAGTATATTGTTTTAGATAGTAGTTGTGTTAGTTGATATCCGTATTGCCCATATTTTCGATTCGGGGTCACCACAAGAACACTACGCTAAAAAATTTGAACATTTCAAATAATGCCCTTAAATTAGAAGGTGGAAATGCATTAGCAAATGTACTTTGCAAGAACTGGTTTTGTATTTATCCTATATTATAATAAAGAATTCAGTCTGAAAAATCCATATATTATTATATCAAGGCATAATTTTTGTGTGGTAAGTGTTTATGCGGTCAGATTTAAATAAATCTGATCTATATAAAATTAATTACAAAACACGCATTCTGAGATGATTTATTGAGACAAGAAAATTCTAAACTTTGGTTCGATAACGGTTAATTATAGTTGATTAAATGCGCATTAAAATAAAAAACTGTGAGCCCACTAGATCCCTTCTTTATTTAATAAAAATTGTCACTGGGACAACAACATAACATACAAATAAAATAAAAAAATTTATTTATATTATAAAAAAATGTATCGCTGTTACATAATGAGAATAAAAGTAAAAAATAAAATTCCTTTTGTTTTACGATTATATGAACTTGATTTGGATCAAAAGTTCCATTTTTGAAATATTGAACATTTCAGCCGTCTAGAGCTGGGATCCGTGAATATCCACGGTTAAGATATTCGGCTACACAAATTCATGAATAGTCGAGGATTAGGTTATATTAGATACGAATATTCAATGATTATTTTTCATAAAATTCGTGAATATCCATATGAATGTACATATAAAATCTAGATATTCATTCAATACTATTCGCGGATAACTAAAACTCGTGAATATTCATTGAATAATCATGATGAATATTCAAAAGAACTCAGCTCTACGGCCGTCGAATTCTTATACGCGACAAGTACACAAAAGTTCTCTTATAACGTTTCATTTATAACGCAAGCATTCATTCAAATTTTTGTGTTTTTGTTTACTAACAACCATCTTAAATGAAAATCTATTTTGTAAGGATTCATTTTTGTCATGATTGTAAGCATAGATTTCATTTCAAATCGACAAATTGTTCATTTGTTAATTCGTTGAAGTATCAATGCTATAGTTGCTAGGCAAACCTTTTCCGTACGATGACGAAAGACGAAATCCCGGAGGCTAAAATAGTGCCGAGGCTACTTGGTTATTGATATTAAGAGTCTAATTGGGTGGTGATGTGTAAGATTTCATACACACGAAATAATAATATGAAAACTTATTTAATTATTTGGGGCATATCTGTAGGTGAAAAGTAGATAGAATATCGATCAAGAAATAGTAATCATTTACTATTGCATACCAATCTTAAGTTTAAATATAAATAAAATAGTTAAAGCTTATATTAAAATAAAGAATTAATAAGTAAAATTCAATTTTTTGTCTTTAATATCGTATGTATTGTACTCAGAAACATAAAATGTTTGAAATTTTCATACACCTCTGATTATAAAAGAAAAAATTGTTGAATAAACGTCATTGCTACAAAATGCCAAAAAGTACCAAATCCAACAAAAGAACATGCTAAAGAACACGCTGAAACAACAAATTCCACCAAACCTAATGAAAAATATATAGAAACGAATAAAAAGTGAAAATTTTACCAACATCCAACGAAAGAAAGAACTATCAAGCACAAAAATAACACGACGAAAGAATACTCTAAAGACATCGAAAAAGCAACTAAAACCCGAAGAAACCATTAAAACCGACGAGTAAGTCAAAAAAAAAATACACCGAAATCTGACGAACCATCGAAACCGCCTAAAAAAACTCAATCAACGTAATGAAAATATTATTATGTAACGAATAAAACCTCCAAAAGCAACGCATCGAACTAGAAAAGTTTTGCATACCAAATCTAATAACGACGACTAGTGCTCTAGTGATTACACTAACGACGACTACAACAACGAAGGCATCAAAGAACTACGACACTAACAGAATATCCAAAATCGACAACAACGTCCTAGTAAAAAAAAACGATTATTAAAACAAAGAAATAGCAATTAGTACAATAATTATCAAAGATACATAAAAAAACATTTTGGTATTTGTTAGCTATTATTTAGTATTAACTAAATAATACCCAGGCCACACGGCGAGGACGTCAATACCAGTAGTGACCCAAAAACTATAAAAGATTACAAACTATACCAAGCTTTCACAACCTGGGTTTGTGAAAGCAAAAAGATAACCTCAAGAAATTTGAGCTTACTATAAAGTAAAAGTTAGTAACAAAACAAAAACAGACTCAAATTCTCGAGGGTAAAGGGGCCTTTCCCAGCTAAGGAGGGTGGTATAGTCTTCCAGCCCGTGCTTGACGCTCTTCTTGCGCGGGCCAGTCAATGCGCTAAAAACAAACTACTTACCTATGAAAGAAACTTTCAAAAACGAAAAAAGTTAAAATAGGTATAACGACTAAACACAAGTGTGTACTGAATGAAATACTTATCTTAATGACTTTTAGCTTGAAGAACAGCCCTTATATATCCTTTTTTTTGTCGCGTATTGTTTTTGGAGATCAACAACACGTAAAACCAATTTTCCAGAGATTAGCCAATCGGAGAACGTAAATTTTGATCTATTCGGATCAACCTGACGTAAATAGTATAAGTTTATCTGATTGGCCAGATTTTTCTGGCAAAGAAATCTAGAATCGAATAAATTTAATGTCTAAAATAGCGGATGGCGAATCAAAGCTTCTGATGAACAACCTGAATAAACTTTTTTCTTTTTGTGGAATTCATTAAGCTCTACAAAATAAAATTTAGATTAAATCCTTAAATG